CTTTCCTTGACATGCTTTTGCTGCCAATGGTAATACTAGCAATGACTGGTTTGTGATCAGATCCAGGATCGTCAATTATTTTGCGTGTGTATGCTCACTGATGTCACTTGAAGCCAAGAGTAAATCAGGAGTTGTTCTGGTTCCATTGTAGTGCAAATATGTAGCCGGATCCTCATTGCTGTAAATAAGTTCCAGAGGGTTGCTGTTTAGCATGTCTTCAATTTCCTTTCCAGCTATGTTTGTATCCTTGTAGCCCCATCTGGTGGAGTGGGCGTTGAAGTCTCCTAGTACTATAGTTTTGTGTGAGATGTTCAGAAAGTCAAAGTTGGGACAATTCTGGGGTGGATTATAGACTGCATATATCTTGAAGTGGTTTTGACATTTCCAAACATTTAATCTGATTATTTCACGTATATCTTTTGTCTAGCCCATACTCTTGATTAGATCGTAGTGTGAGGTGAGGCCCTCTTTTACTCCAGTCAGAATTCCACTTGCAACTTGCCGGTATTTAGGTAGATTGTACAGGGTGTAACCTGAGAATTGGTAGTACTTCAGTTTGTCATCCGAAATGTTTGCTTCCATAATTGTGAAAATGTCTACATCATAGGCTTATAGGATTTTCTGTACTTGGATCTTTTCGTCCGGAGACATTCCTCCAGCATTCCACTGGAGGATCTGAAGACGTTGTGATTTGCCCTGACGAGGGCGATTTTTCTTATAGCCTTTTTTAAAGCTAATCATAATAAATTGAAGTCCAAAACGAATGCCGATTGATAGACTTTTTTGCCGTAAGAAAATACGCTGTCCAGGGTGCACCACGTGGAGGTAAGTCTATCGTGCACCCCTCTTGAAGAACATAGCTAATTTGAAAATGGTGGGACTTTGGTTGTCGTCACATCAACAAAACACGAGCAGAGGAACACGTGCATTTCATTGTTACGGGACGAAGAAATGGATCGTGCTGGTGGGAAAAATGGTTGACCCAAAACACATACACGCATTCCATCCCGTAAGCCAGGGTGCTTTTATGAATTTGATAGAATGTTCATGGAGTGCGGAAAAACCATTTAGAATAACTGAAATATGTAAAGGAATTACAGATGACGTTTAAGGCTGTCAATGCTTGAGAAGTGGGGTATGCAATGAGCTTACCTTCACGTGGTGCACCCTAGACAGCGTATACTCATACGGCAGAAAAGTCTATAACTCTGCAGTTGACTTCAAACAATTATGATCAGCTTGAAACGAAAACATAAGAGAAATCGCCCTTGTCAGGGAGAATCATAACTTCTAGAGATCCATCAGTGGAATGATGGAGGGATGTCACAAAACAAAAGGATCCAAATCCAGAAAATCCTGCATGCCCATGATATAGACATATTCGCAATCATGGAAGCCAAACCTTACGGATGACAAACTCAAATACTACCCATTCCCAGGTTACACTTTATATCTCCTGCCTAAAGACTGGAGTAAAATAAGGCCTCGCGTCACATTGCGAAATAATAAAGAGTATGGGCTTGAAGCAAGATATATGCGAAGTAATCAGATTAGATGTTTAGAAATGTCGAAACCACTTCAAAATATACGTTGTCCATAATCCAATCCAGAATAGACCCAACTTCAATCTTCTGAAAATCCCACACAATACTGTAGTACTTGGTGACTTAACGCCAATTCCATCAGATGGTAACAGAAGCACAGATGGGAAGGAAATCGAAGATATGTTTAACAACAGCTCTCAAGAACTTATTTACAGCTATAAGGATCCTGCTACATACCAGAACTACAATGGAATTAGAACAGCTTCTGACTTGCTCATGGTTTCAGCGACACCATCGAACTTACATACCGCAGAATGATTGACGTTCCTGGTTCTGGTCACAAAACAGTCATTGCTAGTATTATCACCGGCAACAAATGCATGACACCAAAAATGTCAACCAAGCTATCATGGGACTTCGAGAATTCCGACTGGCCTAGACTCACAAACCCTTTAGAAAATGAATTTCAGGCAAGCCCCATCAACCACAACCACCATCCTGACAAACTGTGCAACAATATCATTGAAGAAAGCATTAAAAATTGATGACAAACCAAAAAGCCTCCCTCCACCCATAAACCCATTAGCAGACACTGATGTACGGTTTGGCAATTTCAGAGAGACAAATACCCCTTCAGAACAAATGCGCTCATTGGCCCTTGAGACAATCAATGACAACTATCCTGCAGATCAATGGCTCCAAGTCTTCACTGATGGGTCATACATAGGAAACCAAGCAAACATCGGTGCAGGTGTTTTTTCTGAACTCCTCTCTTTCTTCGCATCAGGGGGACAAAACAGATCCGCATTCGAAGGTGAAATCGAGGCCAT